GAGAGAGAGAGAGAGAGAGAGAGAGAGAGAGAGAGAGAGAGAGAGAGAGAGAGAGAGAGAGAGAGAGCGCTCACCTGGAATCCATGTCTCACAGCCTGCATCGTGTAAGGAATGAGCCGCATAACGGAACCTTTGTCAGCCACAGCACCTGATACACCTTGGGCAATCTGAAGGCAGCACAAGGAGGAGGAGAGCATGAGCAAGCAGAGTGATGACAAGGAGCGGGGGGGGGGGGGGGGGGGGGGGGGGGGGGGGGGGGGGGGGGGGGGGGGGGGGGGGGGGGGGGGGGGGGGAGAAGGACAGGAGAGAGAGTGCAAGAAGGCATAGGAGAGAAAGCAGTTGACAGGAGGATAACAGAAGATCGAAGGAGTCAATGGCGTCCACGTTGTTACTCGTTACCGAGTCGTTAGAAAAATAATTCAAAATTTCATATACTCGTTACAGAGTCGCTAGCAAAAATTCATGAAGCGAAGCATATGTCGCCGGGCTCAGCTGCGCTTGTGGGAACAAGGATGTGGAGCACTGCAAGGGGAAGAGATTGAAGCAGAGCGAAAAGATGAAGGGGAGAACGAGACAGAAAAGCGGAACAACCAGAGAGCACCCGACCAGTGGTTAACGGTGCTAACCACGTAAAACACTGGAAGGCAGTGAAAGCATGATTTGTTGGCCAATTTTATTGATTTTCTGATTTTTTTTTTTTTGCCTGATTTTGTTTCAGTTCAAGGTTGCTGGGTGTCAAATTTTGTGTCTCTTGTCGGTGGTGACCATTTCCTGTTTTTTTTTTAATCTGACTGCATCTGGATTCCAACTTGCGTCTGTATTTCATTCGTTCATGGGTGTACCAGCTGAGCTGCCCATTCGTGGTTCGAACAGAACGCTCATGCGTTGTCTTCGAAAATGAGGGCTGGTTGAATCGAGTCGAATGCATATGCATTATACTCGAATAAAAAGCAACCTATGCGTTGTAATCGTTTGCAACACATAATGCGTTATGCGTTGGGGAAGACTGGAGTAGCCAACAGCAAACCAGGAAAAGTAAAAAAATGTGCTTCTGACCCAGCAAAAAGCAAACCACTACCTTGAGATACCGCCCCGGTTACCAAGACGCCCAGTTACCGCCCCGGTTACCAAGAGTTACGGCCCCGGTTACCAAGACGCCCAGTTACCGCCCCGGTTACCAAGAG